TAAATGTAAATTATTTCACTTTTCTCCTTCCGTAGAACAAATTATTATCCTCATGGAATTATCAAACGTCAATATGTCATTCATCACCTGTCAAGTGACGCGAAAGTTTATGACCTGCTTTGTTTTATTTTCAAATTACATCTTTTTTTGCGCAGAAAGCTAAGTTAAGTTTGGTTCAAAATATTTTAAATAAACATTATAATTTCTGATTTTCTTAAAATAAGTTTTGAAAAAAATGATAATTGATATTTAAAAAAATTTCAAAAGTGAGATTTCAGTTTTTTTAAAATAAAAAATGGTTGAAAAATGGTCAATTTTGCTGACTCAAAAAAAAACAAGATTTTTAACGAAAATTTCGGACGTACTAGGAACGATTAAAAAATGTAAAAAATACCCCCAAAATACTTTGATCTTTCCTCTTAATAATAACAAACATTTAGACGATAAAATTTTGTTTTCGTCAAGTTTGGCGTCTTTTTCATCATGCTATGCTCTTTTTTTTAGCGATCTTGGGAGGTACCTATATACACACAAACATTTTTGCAATATTTGATTGAAAAAATTGTTTTTCAAAACTATTTTATTAAATAAAAAATATAACAAAAATAAATTCAAATTAAATATTTAAATAACTATAAAAAAAAATTTGTTTAAGAGTCCTTAGGAATAAAAGGTTTTATTTGACAACATAATGTTTATGCAAGACTGTGTCTGTATTTTGTTTCACGTCTAAACTATAAGAGAAATTTCACATGCTATTTTAACTACCTTTCAACATCAAGAATCTGAAGAGAGATCAGGTAACTCTTATTTTGTGACTCTTGAACCTCATTATGTGAAAATACTTCAGTAAAAAATGTTCAAAAATTCCAATTTGTATAGATTTAAAATTCTGATTAATTTAAAGCTTTTGAAAGTTGATGTCTGTGATTTACCATCTTTGAAAGAATTTAAAAAATTAAATTTCTATTTTAATTTTATATAAATCCCCACATGTTTTATTCTATTTTTATGATGATTGGAACTTAAAAAAAAATCTTATAAACCCAAATAACTAATTTAGTCACTTTTTGCATGTTTACTTACCCAATGGACAAGAATTTCTAAGATCTTCTTTCAACTCATCAAAGGACTTTGTTATAGAATGCAGCACATTCCCAGATAGCAGAATGTAAGCATTATATTAATAGGTTTCTAAATGCAATACTTTCAGTTATATTGAATATATGAAGTTGCTTGTTATGGAATTTGCTATCACTATTTATCTCTGTAATTAACTGCATTTATTTCAACAATGAATGTGATAAGTTAGAGAAGACTGTCATGCAGTTCTGGTGAATATAAAAATCTTGATTTTCAGTTTCCATAGTTGATCTGTAAAAAATAATGTCTTTATTTTTTTGCTATATCATCAATATATTTGAAAACAGCTTTGAATGCTTATTCTGATATAGTGATAACCAAATTGTACTTGTGCTTCCAAAGAAACATAATTAATGGTACCTCCTAACAATATATTAAACAACTTTTCAGCAAGAGCAACATATGTCACACCTATAATTTGAATTTCTATATGAAAAAGATATTTTCTGTTTTCAATTCCTATTTCCTGATGAAATGTTATATGACATTCTTGTCTATTTTTTTTCTTCAATTTAATGTCACTGTTCCCACCATCCACACTAAATAAGTTCTTTGTACAACAGTGCCTTTGTCATTCTTCCTATTGCTCCATACAAATAATTTTTTAGTAATTTCTATAGTTTTTTTTTTTTATGTGTCATCACTTTCATTTTTGATTTTTCTCCATTTGTTTTTGATTCATCAATGATATTTAAAAAAAAAAAATAATAAACAGGTTTAATACAGTTCATAATCCTGGAGTGCAAAAATAATGCATTAAAAAGAGATGCCCAAAAGAGTTGAGTAAACATCTCACCTGATTAGTTCAATTTCATATAATTTTTAAGGGAATGTAATGTTTTATAAGATGTCCTGTTGGTTCAAAAAAATTTTATTTCAGTTTTTTCCAGTAAAGACTAGAGGCTTTTTTTTCTAATCATTTTTATCCAACATCTGAGAAGAAATATGACTATAGGAGATTATAATTATGATTTTGATAAACATTTAAGTTAAATAAAAAAAATTAAAAAAATATCCTGTATGAATTATTTACATCATACTTGTAAACAATCTTCAATATAAACAAAAATAAACAAGTCCTAATTACTACCAGTATTAAATGACCCATAAGGTGTTGATATGCCATTAAATAAATCAATCAATCTTAACTATCACTAACATACCAGTGTCAATGCAAACAATCACACTTCTAATCAAATTTGCTTTATTAAGCAATCCAGTTAGAATTAAACCAATATACCTTTTCCAAAATAAAGCTGTTGCTTAAAATAAGTAAATTAAGATCTATAATAGGTTTTATAAGACTCCTTATCAAAAACATTTCTTTTTAAAAACAAAGCTGATTAAAAAAAATACAAATAAAAAATACAGGAACATAGAATACTTTGGCCTGGTTATCATTTTTTTAAGTAATACTAAGCATATTGAGGCATGGAGGAGTAATGGATTTGGCTCTGATTGAGGAATCAGAGAGTTATTTTTCAATTCAAATGATAATCCATTATGTTCATTTAATTGCTAATACCCTTTGAAAGGTATGAAGATTTCTTCTTTCCTCCCAGCTATAGGTAAATAGCAGATCAGACTGGGTTTTTAGCCTTTTATCTTGATCAACCGGTCTACTGCAGAAAGAAATGTAAAACCTACTGTGGGAAAAAATCTGCCTAGTCAGTCATGTTTCAAAAGATATATTAATCGTCCAATTGTATCATGCATGGCACATAACTGACTGAAGAATATTGAAGATCAAACATTCCAATTTTTTAATTTATTTTTTTATAGGATGGTAGAAGTTAGGAGTAAAATTTGTGTGAGTTCTTATAATGCATCTCAATTATCTAGATATTGTTCCAAGAATAACATTTGATGAACCTATTGTTTACAGTATGGTGGATAAGCTTTCAATACAGGAGATTTTTTAATTAATTATTGGGTAACATGAAGCCAATTAATATCATTTTAATGACCAGACATTAACATATTTATACAACTTGAAAATAAAATTGTCCATCACTATACAATGTATTTAAACAATGAGAAAAAAAACTAAGTGAAAAGTCAATGAACTGTGATGAAATTATACAGCTTTAATTTTTTGTCTGGCTAATATACAAAAAAAAAAAAAAAAAAAAAAAAGGTGTCTTCAAGAAAAAAATATAATTAACATTGTTAATGTGTTTTGAACACATGAGAGCAAAAGTTTAACATTTCTTATGACAATTTCACTAGTTAAAAATGTTAAATTGGCTGAATGTTTACTACCATATAGAATATGGCTAATTTTATTAACAACACTGGATTAATACAGTCAAATTACTGCAACAAAATGTCAGAAATAAAAAAGTAGCTTCCAATGAGGGAAACTATCATCTCCCACCTCTTCAGCTTATTTTTGTTGTCTTGAGATATAAAAGAAAACAGTAAGCTGAAGTAAAACTAATTACAAAATAATGAATTTGCTTTATAATTTTAAAGAATAACTTCTTTACTATTCTTCTTTAATACTACATACTTTCAAGATGGAAGGCATAATTGCTTTCCAAATTAGGTTTCTTTAATACCTGAACTGCCATGACTTCTTCAGGAAGATAGATAAATTCTGAGTAGACCTTCTAGACTGACTGTCACCCAAAGAAGGAAGGAAGTGGGGGAAGAAAGAGATGCACAAAGACATACAAATATACCCTGCTATTAAATTTAAGCTGGGAGAGGAGAATTAGTGTTAGGCTAGGATTTGAACTCAGTTTGCTGATTCCACTTTCAACACAAATAATCATTAGGCTACCTGTACATTCTAGTAAAACAAAAGATGATATAATAGAAAATTGATGAGAAGTTAGTGACTGAATGACTACAGATTTGTGCTGCACTTAAGTGTTTTAGGCAATAAAAAGGTGAGATCCCAAGGTGTGAGAGGAGAATTAAAGTCATCAAAAGCTACTTTTTTATAGCTGATTTTTGTGTTATTTTGTTTGACAAAGTGTGTGCACTAACCCAGAGGGTTGCATTAAAAGTAACAAGATGGTGGAAAATTAGAATAATAAAAGAAAAGGTTAAAATGCTTCAACTAAAAACTTAAATTTACAAATAACAGGAAACAAAAGGTTATATTTAAGAGTCATTTCTTTATATTTTATCAAATTTGGACTGAAAACTAATTTATTAAAAAGCTATATAAAATCATAAACCATAACCTATAAATGCCATGGCTTAATATGATGATGATGATGATGAATCTCTTATGCTTGTATTAAAATTTCTTAACAGCCTTAGCTTACAGTCATCACATCAGATTTGTTTGCTATGAAGCAAGCAAACTTATTACATTAAAAAAAAACCTGTTATGATTATTAATCAAAAGTTATTCTCCAATTATCAGGTCATCCGATAAGAAATATTCAAATTTAGAGAAAGACAACAAGAAAAAACAACAGATTTATATTTAATTATAAGTTATTCACAAACATAAGTTTTATCATTATCAATAACTTTACATTATTTACAGGATTAATTTATGATTTACAAGCTTTTGTAAAGGTCTTGGTTTGAATGAAGAGATAAGTTCATTTCCATCTTTTCCTCTGCTTCAAGAACTAGTATGCTGCTATCAGATTGAATGATGAACTATGAGATTTTCAATATATCATCAACATTATATTCAGGATATGACAGTTTCTAAATATGGCTGCACATAAAAATGAATATAATGTAATATAAATTTGTAAATATAATATTAACTAAAATCATTTAAAAGGAAGTAAAATATCAGTTTTAAGTAATTATGTCTCATGTGTTTTAGACATTTTTTTTTAGTGGAGGTTTTCTTTTTAATTTATAAAAAGGGGAAAAAAACTCACCTACTACTTTTGTAGCAAAATTGGCTTTAATTTCCTGCAGAAGTAGATCATTGGCAAAGTCATCTTCATTGACATTTACCCAAAAGGAGTTGGGATCAACATTTTTTGCATTAATCTTAAAAAAAAACAACAAAAAAAAAAACAAAAAACTATTAAACTTTTTATTAATTCAACTTTTTAAATTTTATAATTAAAAAGATAAAATAAAAACTGAAATTTATCTTTAAACAATATATTAACACATAAAAAACAAAATCAGAAATACCAAGAATTTATTCTATCACAAACATATATAAACAAAACTTAGAATTACTGCAACATAATAAAAGTAATAAACATTGTTTTAATGAAATAGCTAAATGCTATGAATTTGTTTATAAAGCACAGAAAATACATATTCAGTGTCAAATTCCAAGTAACAATAAAATATGAAATTTTGAACAAACCTTAGTCCAGTTAATTCTCTTAATTTTAAGAGAAACATTATATTTCTTTCTTGGTTTCATGCCAAAAGGTAGAGCATTTTCTTGTTTTAACATAGGAAATCCCATTCCTGGTGGTGGAGGAGGGCCACCCTTACCAGGTGGAGGAGGTGGTGGAGGAGGGCCACCCATACCTGGTAAAGGAGGAGCAGGTGGTGGAGGAGGAGGGCCACCCATGCCAGGTAGTGGAGGAGCCGGTGGTGGAGGAGGAGGGCCACCCATACCAGGTGGAAGAGGAGGTGGTGGTGGCGGCGGCGGAGGAGGTGGAGGAGGACCACCCATACCTGGCAGTGGTGGGGGTGGTGGAGGATGTGGTGGAGGACCACCACTTGCTCCTTCATTTGTTTGTCCTCCCCCAGCAATAGCATTATTAATAACTGCACCAATTCCAGAGTTTATCTGAGAGAAAAAAAAAGAAACAAAATTCAGGAAAAGTTTAAGTAATGTAAAACTAAAAAAGATAAAATAAAGTTAACATTATCATTAATGAAATACTGCTTGAATTGATACAGTATCTTCCAACATGCTAATGCTCACATCAGATCCTTTAAATGTCCAGTCATTATATATGGTAAGAGCAGTAGCAAGTGAATTAAAGTTATTGCATCAATTCCAGACAGCATCATTGTATATATATATATATATATATATATATATATATATATATATATATGTGTGTGTGTTTGATACCACAGAACTTGTAAATAGTTTTGAACAGACAAAACTGCATCCCCCTCCTCTTAAAAGATAACCTTTACAGCCAACACCTCATCAGAAGAATCATTGGCAACTTAGAAAAGTGTTAACAAGATTCATAAAAATTCCTGGGAGGAAATGAGGAACTACAACTAAAATTTTTTATTAAAATTTGTCTTCCAAATATTCCTCCCTGTTTACTAGGATTTTCTCATTTGCCAACAGGTCCACTTTCACATGATTAAATCCTTAAAAGTCAGAAATAACATTTATATTACTAAAGTGGTCTAAAGTAGTAAGTGTTCTGAGGTTCTTATACTAGGGAGGCAGGATTATATTGATAAAATGGAGATCATGTTGAATGATCTGTCAAAATACCATAAAATTGGTCCCATTAATTCATGTGACAATATTAATAGCATTGAGATTGAAGTGCAAAGTTTCTGTTTTCTATATACAAAAGTGGACTTCTTACCAAAATGGTGTATGATTGTATTAGATCCACTGGATCTCAGCATGCTTGAATGTATGGTTTATCCAAGGTCCACAAGAAAAGTATTCCTATCAAGACCCATCCTGTCAATAGTGGGTTCTGTTCAACATGAATGGCTAAGTGACTGGCTGTATTATTACAGCCTATTTCAGATCTGTATTCTTTTTACGTTCCAGACTTGTTTCAGTTTTCTAATCAGAGGCTCTGAACTGTGTTCCACTGACAAAGTTATGGTGTCCTTTGACATAGGAAGTTTGTTTATGAATATAGCTCTTCAGAATACTTTACGGATCTGTACAAATGCTCTTTATAAAAGGTCACCTCTGGATTCCCCCAGTATTCCTGAGAATTTATTTTTGGAATTTATGTATTTAGCTACTGAGGAAGTAGAATTCAGTTTTAATGTCATTATTTATGTCCAAATTGACAGGGTTTTGATGGAAAGTCCCTCAGGTCCCTGTTTTAGCTAATATTTTTGTGGGTTTTTATGAAAACCTTTTTGAAAAATGTTGATGATACTTTTTCCGTTTTCAGTATCACTGAAGAGGCTAAGGCTTTCCACCTTCAACTTAATTCCCTCCACCCATCTCTTCAGTTCATTATGGAGGTAGAATGTTGATTGATCCTTTCTTGGATATACTTGTGGAAAGTGGAAAGATGGGGGCTTTCATCACAAGTGTTTATCATAAATCTAGATTTACTTGACTATATGCCAAATGGAATTTTTTGTTCCTAAATACCAGAAATTAAATTTAATTTCCACTTTGGCCCATCATGTGTTAATGAAATGTTCTCATTGCAAGCTCAATGGTGAAATGGGACATTACCCAGAGAATGTTGTTAAATCTACAATAGTGTGATGCTGACTACATGGGTGTGACCAATCAGTGCCTTGAAATGTGGATTGCACAACATGTTGCCTGGTAATATTAACTGTAATATACACATGACACAGATGGTACAGGATTCTGCGATTGGCCAGCACCTTTCAGACAATCCAAATTGTGCATACAAACATGGATTCAATGTTATCCATTCTGGGCAAGACACAGCAAAACATTTGCATACTTTATAGGCAGTATATATTAAATTAAACTGACTCTCTTTATGCTGACAGAAAGAGAAAATTATCCATTCTCTTTCTTTACTAGGAGGCTTTGAGTCTTTATTTTCCTTTTTATATTCATTGGAATTATTTATTCTGTTTTTTGTTTTTTTTTCTATTTTTCTTCCCTTATTTATTTCTTTTTCCTTCCATTTCAATAATTGTAACTTAGTTGTAGTTCCTCATTCCCAGGCTGTTTATTACTTTATGAATTTTGTTAACATTTTACTAAATTGTCAATGATTCTTCTGGTATTGACTGAAAATGCAACAGCATCAAGAATTTGTAGTTTCTGCTTATTATTTTCTTGGTGAAGTATAGAGGTATTATCTACTAATATTCTTCTAAATTGTAAATGTGGACAGGAATGTTTTAGTAGATGTTGAGCAATGGAGTTAACTTTATTAAAAAATTAAAACCAATACTTAAAATTAATTATGAATATAGTACAAATCTTCTGAAATATAGTACATAGTATATTATGAATATAGTACAAATCTTCTATAGTATTTAGTTTCTAAAATGATATCAAAGTTACAACTAAACAGTTTAAAAACAATTATATATATATATATATATATATATATATAAAACTTCTCTTAATATTTCAATTTCTAATCAAGTTATCTCCCTTACATTAAAATTATGAAATTGATATGTTCACAAGCATATTCACAATTGTAACAATTAAACCACAAAGAATTTCTCTAACATCAAATTTTAAAAATCAGCATTTGTGACTGTGCATGACTTGAATTATTAATCATTTAACTACAAAAGCAAAAATTTATTTTGGACAAGAACAATTATGTCTTAGCCATCAAAACCCTGATGATGCCATTGGAAAATGTTGAGAAAGTATTCGGTTGGGGAATAAAAATGAATATAAGCACAGTGCCTTTCTTGCTGTCTTTAATCATGAAACAAGAAAGCTTATATGTGATTACAAAAAGATGTTATTGAAAATAAACAGCACATGTTTAAATGAAAATATGCTGCCAATATATATATATATATATATATATATATATATATATATATATATACACACACACATACATACATACATACATACACAAATCCTGTTTATTTTAAGTACCAAATATAATTTCTTTAAACTAAAAAACTATAATCCTACATATAGCTGCAGATATATTTTTTAAAATTTAAATTACGTAACGCCCAGTCTACATTCAGCACCTGAAGGTTGTGCATGAAACTCCGAGTCATGCTATTAGTGAGGGATAACATGTATATTTATTAATATATATTTAATAGATATGTTTTTACATTTTTTAACACTAGCATTATGTGTGTGAGATAGATGTGTGTGTGTGTGTGTGTGTGTGTGTGTGTGTGTGTGAGGTGTGTGAAGCCTTCCCAGACTGTTGAGCCCCGTCTACTTGAAGCAGCTGATTATGAGGTGCCAGTGGTCCACCTTCATTTTGGAGCTGGAATTAATTGTCAGGGGCTATTTGAGACATGAGAGCATTTTGTGACAGTGGGTGATTGTACCCACTACTAACTGTGGTTATGATAATCTTTTTTTTCAACATATATAATATACATATTTAAATATTATATTCATTACACAATTTAGAAGCACCCTAAAAATTAATGTACTTTTTAAATATATAACATCAAATAAGCAAAACACTAGAAAGTAAAACAAATTAAGAGGGTTATACATAAATAAACAATTATTGAAAAATTTGATAAATTGGGATTTAAGCCTCAAATACTTGGAGCTTAAAATGTCATTATTTATAACATACAATAAAAATTACCTATACTATCTTTTTGATAGTACTGACATCTAAACTATCAATTGATAAAAAAATGAATGAGAGTAGAAAATGCAAAGTTAATAAATATAACTTTAGGTAAGCAAAAACAAAAAAAGTAAGACAAATAATCTTCAGGATAGTTGTAAAAAACAAATAAATACAAATACAGAAAAACCCAGTAAATGGAATAAGTTGACAAAAAATAATAATAGTCATTACATATATTCATACAAATGAATATATTAATCACATATATAATAAATGAAATAATAATTGTGAATAGTATTACATTAGTTTATTACTTTTAAGCAATATTTACATTTTTTTCTGTTAATTTTTTTGAGCTTTGAAAAAATGCATCATCTCTCCTTGAGTTCAGAACATGTGAAATATATATATATATTCAAAATTGTAAAGAAGTAAACCAAGAGTACATGGCAACTAATTTCAATCAATGGCATTAAAGACTTCCTGGAAGCAAAGGATATCATTTGAAATCAGACTTAGACCTAATGTATTATATTTTTTCAACAGCCTTTGATACATATTAGTTAACACTCATCATCATCATGGCTTGGCTTCGCAAAACAAAGAATGCGAGGGAGTCTGTTTACATCACTTGTAGGCATGTTTGTGACTGATAAATCCAATGCGGTACAGGCATACAAGGTTGCAGTAATTGCATCTAAAGTCTGGCCTGGGTTCGATGGCATAGAATTGCAGTACTTCCTCCTCTGTCTCTTGTCCTGAGAGCAGCCCTACAGGTATTTTCAAAGGAGGTGACAGAATGGTTGGTGGTGAGATGCCAAGCATCACAGTTCTCAGCTAGTGTTGACCATTGTCAATGGTTAATGTGACAGGTAATCTTTGAATTGCTTCTTTGGTACCCCTCTGCCACAATAGCCAGTGGAGAGCATGTGTACAATAAAATTTTAGGCAGGTGATGATTCTCCATCCTGGAAACATGTCCATCCCAGCGTAGTTGGGATTTCATCAGCATGGCCTCAATGCTGGTGATCTTCGCCTTTTCAAGAACTTCAGTATTGGAAACAAAGTCACTCCAGTGTGGGATCATGTGGAGGAAGTACTGGTAAAACCATTCAAGGAGTCACAGGTGGTGTCAATAAGTGACCCATGACGAAGCTGTATAGGAGAATGGCAAGAACAATAGCTCTATACACACTGATCTTAGTGATCATCTTCAGGTGTCTGTTGTACTACACATGTTTGTACAGTGTGCCAAATGTAATGCTCACCCTTGCCAGTGTGTTGTCGACCTCCTTGTCGATCCCAGCATCCAATCTGATGTTACAGCCAAGGTAGGTAAACTGATAAACTGCTTTCAGCTCAGTTGCACCAATGATGATGTGGAGAGGGCGATACTCTTCCCAAGGCACTGGCTGGTAGATTACCTCTGTCTTTTTTAAATTGTCTTCAAGCCCAAAAATCTTGGCAGTCTCTGTGAAACAGAAAATTGTCTGCTGCAAAGCCTCGTCTGTGTGAGCAACAAGGACAGCATCATCAGCAAAGCAGGTCTCAGATAAGTTGCTCCAGGGTCTTTGTCTGGGCTTTTAATTGTTGTAGATTAAACAGGCCACCATCGACACAGTATCTGATGTAGACTCCATTCATGGCTTGCTTGAAGATAGTGAAGAGAGTTGGTACCAGAATGTCACAACCCTGCTTCACACTGTTGATGATCAAGAAGGGCTCTGAGAGATCACCATTGTGTCTAACTTGGTCCTGCTGATTCTTGTGCAGTTGGATGATAATGTTCAGGAACTTTGGTGGACAGCCAAGTCACCCCATGATCTGCCACATTCCTCTTCTGCTCATTGTGTTGAATGCTTTCATCAGATCAATGAATGCCACATACAGCCCCTTGTTTTGCTCCCAACACTTCTCCTGCAGCTGCCAGAGTACAAACACCATGTCTGTTGTGCTCCTGTTCCTTCTGAAGCCTCACTGACCCTCTGCAAAGTGCTGTTCTGTGATGGTGGGTACCAACCTGTTCAGCAGAACCCTTTCCTGCGATGGAGAGCAGAGTAATCCCTCGTTAATTGGAGCAGTCAGATTTTTCCCTTTTGTTCTTGTACAGGGCAATGATGACTGCATTGTGCAGATCTTCTGGTATTTTTTCCCTGCTCCCAACAGCAGCAAAAGAGCATGTGGAGTTTCATAGGCAACACTGGAAACCCCATGCTTCCAGATTCCAAGTGGGATTCCATCAGCTCCTGCTGCCTTGCCACACTTCAGCTGCTTTATGGCTTTGATAGTCTCTTCAATGGTGGAAAACTCGTCCAGTTCCATTTTTACTGGTTGTTGGGGAATGCAGAGTATTGCTGGTTCTTGGACCAAGCAATTAGCACTGAAGAGATCCTGGAAATGCTCTGCTCAACAGTTTAGGACAAGCTGGCTCAGCTAGAGTGAGCTTGATGAGTTGATCTCTTCCTCACCAGCAGTTCTTAGATTTCCACATTGCTCTCATCAAACAAATCTTTGTTCTTCCTTGAGGAGAACCCAAGGATTTCTATAGATGTCTGTAGAATGCCAGTTTTGAGTTTTTCCCAAAGTGTTTCAGGAGAGAAATCTGCGGGGATGCTCACATCTTCAAGCCTTGACTCAAGTGCTGCTTGGAAGTTAGCTTTCACTTTATCTGATTGAAAACTGCCAACTTTGAACTTTTCTTTATCTTAGTTAAAAGTGGAGCTTGATTTTTCAGCAAAGAAGATAATGGTCAGTATGACATTCTGCACTGGGCATCACTCTTGTGAGCATGATGTCTTTCAGGTCACACTGGGGAACTATGACATAGTCAATGAGGTGCCAACGTTTAGACCGATGATGCATCCAGATTGTTTTCAATCTGTTTTTCTGTTGAAAGATGGTGTTTGTGATGATGAGCTGATACTCTGTGGAGAACTCTAGCAACAAGTGCCCATTGTCATTACAGTTAACTACACCATATCTCCCAAGCATTACCTTACAGGCCACAAAATCTTGGTCTACTCTGGCATTGAAATTGCCAAGGTTTATAATCTTATTGTCTGCAGGGGTATCTCATAGTAGGCTGCACAGATCTGAATAAAATTTATCTTTTTTCACAGAATCTGCTTGTAAAGTTGGTGAGTGTGGCACTAATTAGTGTGGCATATTTAAGATTACTCAGTGAGAGGTGCATAGAAATGATTCTGTCAAAATAACCTATTAGCAGGTTTTCAAGCTTGAAGGCAATGAAATCCCTGATCATGAAACCTACGCCCAAAAGACGACTCTCTGCTACTGAATTTCCTGACCAGTAGAGGGTATATCCGGTGTCATGCTCTTGTAGGCTGCCTTCCTCTGGGAAACGAACTTCACTGAGAGCAGCGATGTTGACATTTAGTCTTGACAATTTGCAATTAGAGCAGAGCATCGGTCATGTCCAGCATGGTCCATGTAGTCCTTCAATACTCATACAGGTGGGTGTGAACTTTTTCTTTACTGACACTTGACTGCATGAGAAGAGGCCCATTTACCTATCTGAAAAATATAGGAGATGAGCTTTGTTTAGGCCACCTTTTCTCATCTGCTATCCATATGGAGCAAGCAGTGCTGTTCTTAAAGAAGGCTGCTTAGTTCATCAGGTTGCTGCCAAACAATGTTGTTGTCTCCAGTTCAACATCAGATGACTAATATCCTGACAGCCTGCATGCAGGATTGGGACTCTGACTTCCAGTGTCATCTTACTCTTGCCATTTTCACCTCTCTCCCATTGCTACAAGGCTTGGAAAAGATTGGTGGATGTGAACATCTATTTCAGGCCTGCACAGTGTTGTTTTTAGGTGAAGTGCAGTGTGTGTGCTGATCTGGCCCCATTCTTTACACCTAGGATTCGATCTGTCATGGCCTAGCAAGTTGGGATGATGACAGTAAAGTCCCCAGGTTGTAGGTTTTACAGAGTGTCCTTCTCTTAGCCAATGATTAAGTAAAAACACTACTTTAGAACAAAATACCAAACCATTACTGATTGAATAAGAACTATATACATAAATGAATGTAGTAAAAATTTTACCTTTTCCTTTAATTGACAATTTTCTAATTCAGCTTCCTTTAGTTTTTCTTCAAGGCGAACATATTTTGCTTCTGCCTCTTGTTTGGCTGTATCTGCAAGTTCCACTTTTCTTTCGGCTTCTTCTATTTCAGCCTGGGTTTTTTCTTGAGCTAAATTTGCTAAAAAAAATAAAGAAAAAAATTTGCATATTATGATAATTGTCATCTCAGATCATTCACTGACACAATAATTTTACATGGCCTTTTTTAGTTTCGATCTACTTAAAGTGTTGTATCTTCTGCTACACAGCACCTATGAAAATGCAACAAGTTATTGTCCAATCCACAAGGTCCAGTCACTACCGCTAAACAATCTTAAGATAAAAAGGTGTATAATATGTAGTGGACTTAAAACTTTTACATTCCAGTGTATTCTAGTCACCTCTGTGTCACTTATTCATTTCTTCCATTGAAATAAAAGTACATGACTTTCCAGCACTACCCCAACCCAGTAAATGAACTAATTGTCAGGAAATACTCATACTTAATGATGATTTAATCCACTAAGGTCCATTCAAGTGGTGGAATATATGATTGTCTTTTCTTAATCAGAGGCTCTCAGGTGATATTCAACTCTATGCTAAGTCAGGTTATCAGTGCCTAGCATGCATAGTGATTCTTTCATTCAATCTTATTCAACAGGAATTGATAAAACAACTCCTTTTCTCTCAATAATTTTATGTATAGAGGGTTACCAACTATGACTGAGACCTGAAGAGGTCTGGAGGGTACAACCACCAAAACATTGTGAGAAGTAAGTTCCACTCAAACAGGTTCTTCCTGTGAACCACTGCCCTGTAAATCAGACTCCTAAGAGGATGTTTCCCCTATCACAACAATATTAACCTGTTCAAGTCTAGAGTCAACTGTTATCTTCCCCTCTTAACCATACAAACTACCCCTTAATGTAAGTCTCTAGCTTGAGTGGCCTCCAGGCCTTGTACAGGGTGAACCCTAGTGTAAAAATGATCCAGAGAAGCCAAATGATCCAAACAGAAAAGTATACAAAAGTGATTCTCTCTCATTTTAAAAAATTCAACATCAATTTTAAGTTGAAGTTATAACTAAATTTTGACTAAGCCAAAATAATTATCTTTAAGTGAAATTTTTTATAAGGTAATTGATTTTAAATTTTACCTCCATCATTAAAATATAAATATATACAATTCAATTTACTTACATTTTTTTTTTGATAAAATCAAAACTGAATAAACATTATTAAATTTAAAATTTAGTCATGTATTTATGCATGTATCATGCAAAAATAAATAAATAATGCAAAATCCACCTACCCGAAAAATATTCAGGAGTCATATTGAACACAAAGATGATATTTACAATATATGTACACATATCAAAATTGCATATCTGTTCATAAAATTAAAGTTTTTACAGTGATTAAAATATGAAATGAAAATTAAAGTCCTGATTCCAATATTAAATGTGTATGCATATGGTAACATTGATTGAAAAGCCAGATATAATTACTATTTGTATCATTAGTTTTTGTTCCTTGTCAGAAAAACTATAGCCAGTTACTGATCTATCTAAATTACATATTTTGTATTTATCAGTTAAGTGTTATGATACAGACTGAGCTTACAAATCTGTACTTAAGGTGAGGTGGGTCATATTACATCAAGAGGTAATATTCTTATCTCCCTTTTAACCACTAAAATGAATGGTTAAATACTCTAAATTAAATTGTAGGGAATGTGAAATAACTCATTTCAAATTCAGAGGACTGAGGAAAAGAAAGAAAGTAATTTGTGGGCTGAATTTGTTTTTGGACCAATGAAAACCTTGCCTTCACAGAAATTAGCTGTTGGACCAAGAAGAAAAAAGGAAAGAAATATCTTTTTGATATAAAAATGAGGAGAAAAATTAAATTAATGAGAGAAGAGTGTCTGAAATCATGTCAAAGGCTTCATTTCTGTTCATTGCAAACAGTCTTGAATTTCTTGTCAGTGTAAAATTACTCACAAATTATATCATTAGTCTCTAACCAAACATGTGGGATTCAAAAAATTTTCTCTCAAGAATCCAAGAAAGTTAAGTATTTCAAACTATCTCTTGAACATATGTAACCATATATACTTTCTGTAAGTGACAAATTCTCTTACCGGTTTTGAACATTTTTTAAATATTATTTTGTCAGATTGCTTAATCTGTTGTATGAACATTTCTTCCTCATGACAATGCATTAAAACTATGGACTTTAAGAATTCTTATTTATTTTCCTGAAAAGAGTTACTGACACTACTTCAAGTGTTTAAATTTATAAATTTTTTAAGATTCAATTTTAATTTTTTTAAATTTATAAATTCATTCCTTATTTGTGTTTCCTCATCATTATCATCCTTATTAACATTCTTGGCATGGGTAAATCAACTGTTCATTTTAACCTCTAAGCTCCAAGCCACTATAACATCATATGCAAATACAAGAGATCAAAAAGATATAATTAAACATGTAAATTTTTATGAGGAAAAAAAATTAGTAACTGGCATCATATAATCTCATATGAAGTATCAAGTCAAATAAAACAATGCTTTTCAAGCAATAATGTGATGTTGATTTTAGTGTACATGAAAACTTGCAAAATGTAATAACTATTTAACTAAATAAGGAGAGTTGACAAACAAAACAAATTTTATTAAAAAGAGAAAAAGAAAAAAAAAAGTAAATATTACAAATTTTTCATTTAATCCCTACTTCTCCATACAGTCACTCAAACATTAGAAATAAGCAAACAATTCTTCTAATGTGAATGACATTAACATTTGATATTGTTCAAACAAATTCAAACAAATCCTTTTAAAGTTTGTGATAAAACCTAGAAAAGAGGTTCAATCACTCTGAAAAAATACCCAGTTTTTTGATTATCTACATAAGCTTTCATATTTTTAAATGCTTGAACAGAAAGCCTTGATTATGACAATAGAAGGAAAAAAGAAATGATAAATGCTAGATATAGGCAAAAGCTAAAATTTCAATAAATTATTCTTAAAATTAGATTATTTTACTTTAACCTAATCAGTTTCAAAACTCAACATTAAAACGTGAACTTATGTTAAAAAAATATTTAGAAAGTGTTTTATACATAAGAAACATTGGTAACTGCTGATTTAAAAAAAAGTTGTAAAGAAAAAAAGCAAAGAAATGTTGTCGAAAGAGAGATAACTATCAACATGTGTAGCTCCATGTAGATATCTTCTAGGAAAAAAATCATATTGAACATAAAAAAAAATGACCATTTTGAAACTTTAACCAAAATAACTTAAAATAAAGTAAAGAGACAACTTACCTAATATATATTCCACATCAATTTTGAATCGCTTTGTATAACTGAAGTCTGGGTCATGTCCACTTTTTTGTATGACTATTTGGCTTACACATTCCTCAATAAGTTTGTAATACTGAACCCTACAAAATTTTTCAAAATTGCCATTTTAAAAAGATGAAGGCAGGACTTATCTAAAATTTTAAAAAACTTTATAAGGATTTCCAAATTGTTTTAGCTTTAGAATATTCATGATCAAATAAATAATTTACATAAGAAAGATGGAATATTTATTTGTAATGTTTATTTTTAGAATGTAAATATTTTCTCAGATTCTGCATTAGCATAATTCAAATATTTACAGTTTGTAGAATAATAGCAAAAATTTTTTGCTCATATGCCCTGGTGTGTCATTTTTGAAAATATAAAAATTAAGAAAGAATTACTTATCAAAAGTTGAAAAATTGAATTGTAAATTAAGGACATTTATAACCAAGTATGTTTTTAAATAAATGAAATACAAATAATTTAAAGTTATGCTTACTTTGCATAAGGTTCTTCTCTAATTAGCAAAAGATGTTGTAAAATAGAAAGAAAATATGTCAAGCTAGGCGTGTTTAGAACACTGTTTATTAGCAATTTATAACATATATCTGGACTAGTACAAACAAATTAAGGAAATTAAAGTAAATAATGAAAAAGCTTTCAACAATAATATAAATAAAACAGTAACATATTCTTAAAGTTCACTTTATAAATTTGCGTTTAATTTTATAATTTTTTTTTTATTATTTTCATAACTGCAGCAAACAAATTATTTTAATAATTAAAAGCATTGAATGTGAAAATACTAAAAATTATAAGTTTTCATAGAGTAAAAACAAAAATCTAAGCATTAAATGCAATTTTGAATAAAAAAGAAAGGATTTTACTTAATGCATAAAAACTATATAAGTGGACACTGAAGTCAACACTGAGCAGCGACAGGGTTTCATGCTTCAACACAATATTCAGGCCATATTTGTTGGCTCAACTATTTATATAGGCTGGTCAATGGTGCATTATGAGTAACAAGGTCTATTTCATTATCCTAATGGTTTCTCAGTAAATGGTAATGGCTATATTTCAAATTATTCTAGAGGCTGTGGAGTAGTAGTAATTGTAGATCCAAATGTGGTTATTTGTAGCTACTTTATAGCACTGTTTGTTAACTTTTTACTCACTTATTATGAAATTATTTGTAGTTGATTATTATTGAAAATACCCAAGATGATGACCAGTGAATTATGGATATTGTAAAGGATAAGATTTAAAAGAGTTTATTGCAAAAGGCATTTAATTGCAATAAAATGAATTAGCACCTGGAATTTTCTGAGTTTGAACTCATAACTTAATGGGATTTTAACTAGTAGGATCCAGTGAAATAAGGTGCACTCACCTAAACTCACACATTTAAAAAAAAAAAAAAAAAAAAAAAAAAAAAGGCAATTAAGATAAACCATAAACCAACTGTCAGAAATTCAGTAATTAATGTTATTTTTTCATCCTATGCACCATTCTGCTTTGATTGCCTGTTGGGTCAAAAATTTGGCTGACCTCACTAATGAGACTAGAAGATGAAGTCATCAACACACTTCCTTTGCTAAGCCTACATGCAAATTAACTTATAATCTGACATCCAAAAGAAACCAATTTGCCATTTTTATTCTTTGATGAGCTTGATATACAGAGGTCTCTGACTCAACTTCAAACAGCCCTGGTGTAGACAAAAAAAAATAAATCATTATATATAATGTGGGTAGAGAATCTTACTAAGACCAATGGCTGCTCAGTTCTTGAATCACAACAAGTCCCTGGCCAAATCCAATAGGCACCATGTTTGTGGTATACACTGTAATCATCTGGAGGAGTATGTAAGTGCTCCATCTTTAGTTTTAGAGCTTGCATTCATGTTATGAAAGTTATTTGTACAAACTTCTATTGTATATTAGAAAAAAATTCAAGTTTATAAAATCAAACGTAATCATTGAATGCTGAAGAAAAATATTTATAGAATCAAAATTCTAACTGAAGTTATTTTCTTTTAAAAATGTCCATTGAATTTCAATGAAAGGATATGATAATTCTGTTTTCACATTGTCATATCTTTGTAAAAGGTCCCACGAATCTTCATCCATGTGTTCATGGAAAACAGTCAGTTGTGTCTGTAATTCTATGAATCCTAGATGTGCCAGTTTCTGCAAGGAGAAAACAATGTTTATAGTAAATATTTATACTTAGTCAAGAAAACAGAAGTTATATTACAAAGTGAATTTGTACATACAAATTATCAGAAAAAAAACAACACTATTGAACTTATCAAAATATCATTGTACATGTGTATAAAATGTTAAAAAGGATCAAAAATAATGTTAAAGGCAAAAGCAGTGCAAAGAATGAATGAAGAACTTATTTAATGATAAACTTCAACTTACAGGCAGTAATTTCAGACAATTAAAACTCAAAGATATTTGAAGCAATGTAATATGGTCAAAGTAAGGTAGTGACTAATCAGGAGAGAATAACTCAGAATTTCAAAATGTGGAAAAGGAAACAATTCCACTACCTTATCCAGTAACAACTACTAGCACACAAATATAAAATAGTTGAGTAGAGTTATGTTTACAAATAACCTTAATAAAAGCATTTTAAACTTTTGAAAATAAAAAAGGTCAAGAGTGCTCAAAAGATATAAATAATTAACTATTTTTTTAATTTTTTATTTTTTTTCCTTCCTCATCCATCTTTAAATGCAAGTAAAATTCATATACATTTAAAAAAAAATATTTTAAATAAATGCTACTAGTCTGGCACAAGCAATAAGAAAAATGAGCAAATATTGTAAAATTGTTTAATTTCAGAAAATATTCAGTAAAGGTTGATAATTTTTTGCAATGAAATCAATCCATTTTTTTTTTAATCATTTCACTGCAAGCAAGGTGATGATGCCACTAAGATGCAAGGGCTTACTGGGAGTGGAAGAGAATGAGAAGATTTTAGCAAGGAGAAAAGATAATAAAAGAACATGAAGACAGATGGTGATTGACGTTGCACTTAAATATTTGAAGATTGTATATGGTAGGAAAGTAAGAAATCAGAAGGGAATTCCACAGGTGGGAAGTGTAAGAAAAGAAACTATCAGAATAGAATTTAGAGTTACATCTATTTCAACAGTAAAATTATGAAACTTATGTATTATCTAGTAGTACGCTTAAATTTATGTCATCAGATACCAAAGAGGAGAGCTCATGAGAACAACTGCCATAAAAATATATATAAATGTGCAAGAGGAATTCCATCAAGAAAAACTGTCTAGCATAATACAGTAAACCAACCTTAGTAGCAGATCTAGCAACTGATTCAATATAATTGCTCCACTTCAAGCCATTGGAAAATATTGAGACCAAGAAGGCTCTAGAGGTTAGCATCAGCCATGCTGATGGAGGGCAAAAATGATTCTCTGATAGTAAGGATAAGTAGTTTTGAAGGCATTAAAATTTACAAATCATTTCTTGCCTCAGTCAGCAACTAATTGGAGGCAATTTTCAATAGCAAATACCAATTTTACTTTGTCAAGACTTAGTATTAATACAGAAGTAAATAGTTGTGTCATCAGCATAAATACGTATTTGGGAAATGGTAACATCAGGAAGACCATGAAAGAGGATAAGAAACAACATAGGTCCAAGGATAGAACTCTGGGTGAACTCCACATTAATGTGAAACAATTTAGAAATGTGGTCATTCAACATGACCTTCATTACCAGAACAACTGGATTAAAACATATCCAGCCAGAGACACCATAGCTCTTGAGTTTGTGGAAAAGGCCAGCTTGCCAAACCCTGTCAAATGCCTTCAAAATATCTAAAGCTAGAGCATGAGCCTCACCATTCTTATCTAAAGCCTGATACACAAATTCAGTAATACACATTGGTAACTAATTTAGAGAAATGAAAGCAATACTGTTTATCTGAAAGAAGACCATGTGAAGTGACATACTTAACCAATTCAGAGTTGATTAGGACCTCTAGTACTTTGCCAAAAAGATAAGTCTAATAGGATAATAATTTGAGGGATCAGGAGGCTCACCAGAATTTTTAGACAACTGCAAAAGAGGATTTCAAACAAGTTGGAAAACAAGAAGTAACAAGGTATTTGTTGTATAGTTTGGAGAAAACCAGAGCCTGTTCAGGAGCACATTTCCTTAGGACAATTGTGAGGATACTGTCAAGTCCACAAGCATTTTGGGGTATCTAGTTTGGTGATGGTAGTAGAAACCATGGATAGAGTTATGTTCATATCACTGAGTAGAGATTCCATTCTTGAGGAAAAATGAAGCAAAGATACTCCTGAAGATTTGAGAGCCAAGTTTGAAGAGAATTTCTAAGCATAGAATTCTGTTTTATCACCAGCAAATGACAATACTTCAAACCATTTGAAGAGAAGGGAATTGAGGATTTGTTCTTGTTCAACACACTTTTACAGAGCTGCCAGTAATCTCTAGAACAAAACTTGTGAGACATTATAAGGTATCACATTCTATCAGCAAATAGTGACACTGCCTTGTTGAGAACATGCTTATTCTCATGAGTGGATACAAAGAAGTGCCTGTTATGATAGAAATTATAAAATTGGTATAGCAAATTCCAGCAAAAAAAGAAAACAGTAAGAGAAAAACAGAATATTTCAAATATTCCATCAGCAAAAATGACTTACCTCTAAAATGTCATTAAGACCATTCCTTATAAATTCATTTCGTAAGTGTATTCGAAATTCAACATTGTCAGGTGTTGATACAATGGCATTGACCAACTGAATACAGGCAACCTGCAATAATTATATTAAAAAAAATATTCAGTCAATTATTTTTTACAATAACTTAAGGGTTACCTTTGGTAACCTTTTAACTGGACATGAAGTCACTTATTCATACAATTTAAATTATTTTCAAAGAATTGAAGAGTATACTAATTAGCCAAACTCCAACTACATTAAAAAATAACTTTATTTGTTCTAGTAAAATCTCTCATCAGGAGATGAAGTGTTAAATTCTAAACACAGAATTAAAATTTTTCTTTTTTTAATATATAAACATTTGGATATGTTTTTAATATGTAAACATTTGGATATGTTTTTAATATATAAACATTTGGATATGTTTTTAATATATAAACATTTGGATATGTTTTTAATATATAAACATTTGGATATGTTTTTAATATATAAACATTTGGATATGTTAATTTTAGACATTTTTTACCATCTTTAGATAGCAAAAAATGTCAAATTAATTTTTGCATGAAATTATACATCTATTTTGTATAAAAAGAAAAAATTCTTTATAAAAATAATACAAAATATTTTAAGTTTTTCTAAAATTAAACACATACAAAAATCTACTCATTTATAAATACAAGCCTCTTTCAAGTTGAAAATTGGAAAGAAAATTGCTTTATTCTTCCAGTTAGAGAATTTTTGTGGTACTGTGCTAACAATTCTTGCTGTAATGTGCTGTTTTTGCTGTATTATATTAACAAACAAGTATATAATACATGTACAGTATGTAAGAAATTAAAAAAAGAAGCCAAATTGAAAACTGACCTGCATTTGATAATTATCTTCCATTTCAAGTCCTTTTATAATGGTGTCAAATCTACCTTTACCTCTAATCTCTGCACAAGATGTAATACCTTCTAGAGCCTTTTCATGCCTTGAAATGAAGGAAAAAAGTAAACATTTACAATTTTGAAGATTTAGAATTATAATATAAAGTTGAAAATCCAAAGAATAACATAAAATAAGGTCCATATCCAAATAAATACTTGAATCTCTCAAATGACATCCAACATTTTACTGTTATTAAATAGGTAAAGTGGACTTGGCTTAAACTGTTTTCTATAAAGATTCTAAGCTGTGCTACTATTACTTCCACAAAACGCATCTTACTACATAAACACAGGAACAATGAAACCCCTTGAAAATGTCTGATGCATTAGCTGAAAGTGCTTAGGACAATAATCACTATAGGCAGTTTCTATACTCTTAATATGGTCTTAAACTTTTGACCAGATAGTATTTAGTCTAATTTCCCAGTAATCAAATTTTCCATATTAAATGTTAACAAAGTTTTTACTTTTTCCTTTACTTATTTTCATTTTTTAAAGTTCTACTCAAATAAATAGTTGAATTTAACAACACAAAAGGTATATTTTTTCTTTATTTCCATTGGCCTTAAGATTTTATCCATTAGTGTATATAAACACACACAAACACAGATATAATGTGACCAGAGTTAGTTGTTTAGATAGAAATGCTATATTACATATACAAAAAAAATAAGCAATGCATTTACAAAATTAAATATTGCTGTCATTTATGATTGAACAAGTAAATGATTCCAATACACCAAACTAAAACAAATTTGACTCATATATTTTATGAGATTAAAAAAAAGAATAAAAATACAATTCATGGAGTTTTTGAGAATTTAAAAAAAAAAAAAAATAAAAATAAAAAAAAACAATTAAATATAATTTATGGAAAATGCAAAACGTTTTTGAAGTATAATTTATTAAAATTTAAGAAACTTACCCATGAGGTAAAACTAAACAGATAGCAGCCAAAAGCCTGACTGCTTCAAGCATTGTAATTGGATCTGAAGGATCCATAGTTCTAGCCAGAATGGTTAGTGCTTCTTCATGGGTAATTATCATTTCCAAACCATCCTGGAAGAAAACCAGAATAAAAGAATTTTCATAAAAATTTAAGATATTTAATTAATTTAATAGGTATGTAAAGAATATGAAAGTTATCTTAACATAAAATTTATAAATTAAATCCACAAATAAGAAACAGATGTCTGTAAAACATTACTGTCCTGGCACCAATTAATATTAATTTTACAGTGTAAACTAACAGTGTCATTTCTCCATAATTTATATTCACCAATTTAGGAAAAGAACTAAACAGTTATTTATTAAGCTTGTATAAGGTCAGTGATTATTGAACTGTACTCTGGCATATTAAATTGAGGAAGAATCTTGTGTCTCATGAAATATCTTAAGCTTAGTTTAAATGTGGTCCAACATTTTGTAACAATATAAAGTAAGTGAAGTCTGATATTTATCTCTAAAGTATTTCAGTAGTAACCAGCTGGTATAAGAAAATTAGGAAAAATTTACATTATATATAAATAAAAACATACATGGTTGTTCATGAAGGCCTTTAAGCATCTGACACATTCATAGGTACTCCTCTTCTCTTGCTTGCTAGAAGTAAATACATTTTTGCCATTATAATCAGGCAGTTTATAGTTTTATGTACATATATACAAAAGAGAATCTTAAAATGCAAAAATTTCTAAAAGAAAAAATAATTCAGTTAATGATGCTAAATTTTATGCAATAAATACTTTAAAGTCTTTATTTTGTCATACCAGAAAAAAAATCTTTTTTTATTTTTATTACTATAAATCCTATATGGATAGTATGGTATCATTTTACATCAAACACTTAATCTTTGAAAATGATAATGTAAATAAATCATTTTGCTTTACGTCTTAGACTATCCCATATGAAGTATTTTTTTTTTAACAAAAATCTTACATAAGCCATTATTTTAGTATTATTTCTTACTAATCTATTTATCATTTTCTTTCAGGTGGTTATTTTCATAAAAAATATTTATATTCTCCAGAATATGATAACAACTAACCAATGTCAAGTGCTAATTTATAGGAGTTCAAATTAGGCTGCAATGCCACAACAGCTCAACAAAATATCAGATTAGCATTTGTCAATAGTATTATCCATGTCAGAAGTATACAGAGATTTGTTCAGAAATTTCATTCCAGAGATGCGTTGAATGCATTGATTAGACAAAATCTGAAAAACATCAGTAAACTTTCAGAAAAACTTGGAACATCTCCTATGTCCATTGGCATTTAAAAGCTATTGGAAAAGGTGAAGGTGGACAAGTTTATTCTGCATGAACTGAAAGCAAATCAAAGAAACTGACACTTAACATTCTCAAATGAAACATTTCTTGCAATGAGAAATGTAATTTGATAAGTGAACAGAGCAATGGTTAGATGCTGATTAGTCTACAAAACCTCACCATCCCCACCTCTACTCTAGAAAAAAAAAAACAACAACAGGAGGGGGGGTGTCTTGACTAGTGAATAAAGATGACCCCAATTCTACTCCATAATAATGCATGCCCTTGAATTTCACAGTCCACCATTCAAATGGTGCACAGCCTTGGCTATCAGATTTTGGAGCATCCACCTAATTTGTAAGATATCTTTCCCACCGAGACACTGAGCTTTCTATACATAATAGATTCTCTTATGGTAAAGAATTTATGGAGGTATTGTGAAAGGTGATCTTATGACAATGACTGTTCCCATCATATATTGCTATATTTGATTTTGGTGTATTTAGGCCTTGTGTAATAATTAAAAGAAAACACAGAGTGTTGAAAAATACAAAATAAATCTTTATAGACTGAAGAAGTTTCCAGAGTTTAAGTGTAAAAGTTCTAGTGCATACAAGAGAGAGGGCATCTTGGAGGCAGTAAACATATGTATATGTACTTATGTATTCATTCAAATGTAGTAGTCACCTGTTTAACAATGTGAATGAAAGAAGGTATATATGTTTTTGAATGTAACAGCAGGCTGCTTAAAAAGCAATAAAAAATAAAAAAAGGGTATGTTTCCAAACAAATCATATGTTATGTAAAATCGCTAGTGAATTGAGCAAAATGTTCCATTTCAGCTCTAGATATGTTATAATGACTGCAACAATTGAGAATGGACACAATTCATTCTAGTTTTGATTTTGGTTTATTTTCTACCTCATTATATTCATATTTAGAGATTTGCTTCAAAAGTGCCACTTTGGCTCTCATTGGTTCGTGGCCTTATATCCTGGTTTGCAGAAGTTCTTGTGTCTGATTTGCTTGATAAGACCAGTCCTTGTATCCTGATCAGGACGGCTTCTGATAAGTTGGTTGAAATATGACTTATTTATTTTTCTATCACTACAAAGTAATCTAAAAATTTGGACAGTTTAATACAGAAATTAAATTTATTTAAAAATGAGATAAACAGTTCAGATTTACATTGGAAGAAAACCATAAAACAAAAATGTTATTTTGATTAATTAAAAATGTTTTTTGTCATTTATTACAATACATTTCATATTGGACAACCTAATATTTGACAAAAATTTTACGATGAATTCTTATTTTTAAAGTTAAAGTGATAACAGATTTTAATATTATATAATTTTTTTTATCAAGCCTTTAATAGAATCATACTATTTTCCTAACAAATATTTAAGATTTCAAAATTCCAACACAAATTATTAACTTTTTACTAATTTAAAAATTTTAAGACTAAAAATGATTAAATTAGGTTTATGCATGTAATTAGAAAGAAATTAATATTTAATACTAATAGATATTTGAAGGCAAAAATAGCAACTGATAAAAGACCATTTTTATGAAGTGCTTAGTAAGGTGTAAAATTATTAATGATAAATTATAAGGCTTTTAGACTATTCATTCATAAATTATAAGGCTTTTAGACTATTCATTCATAAATTATAAGGCTTTTAGACTATTCATTCATAAATTATAAGGCTTTTAGACTATTCAGAAGTTAAAATGTTAACAACTCTTAAAAGGGTAGGGTGAATTAAGAAGTCCTCTTTATTGAAACCATTTTTTATTGAAATCATATTTGAATTATATTAACTGAAGAACAAAGTTTAGACAATGAAAACTTAATTATTATGTATTTCTTTTCTAGTTTCTTTTTCAATGCGACTTATGACATTGTTTTCAACATATCAACCTGCGAAAATAAATATTAAATTTTTTTTAATTCTATTGTTTAATTTCAAATATATGATCTCTTTTGAAATGCACATTTTCAAAACGTTAAAAAATTGTTTAAAAGAAAAAAAAAAACAGCTAAAATATTGACATACTTATCACAGCAATAAGTTAAGTTTTTCAAGATTCCATTTAGACCTTCCAAACCAAACTCTGCTGCCCAACTGAAATAAAAAAAAAAGTATTTACAATAACAAGTATCTAATAAAATATTACTGTAGAAATTTGTTTTAACAACATAAAATGTAATTTTGATAACTAAATAATGGTAACAAATGTAATTTTCATTTAGGAGGTGCATAAACCTCATCAATAGTTTTATTCTAAGATTTCTTTCATATTACAAGATGAAAGAAACATTTCAGAAAAAAAAAAAAAAATCACTACTTGATTACAATTCTTAAGATTTTGTTTATGCACAGAATAAGCATAAAAAACAATTTTAAAATTTTAGGTTTATGCACACACACACACACACACACACACAAGTGAGAGAGAAAGATAGATATTTGATATATTAAAGTGAGAAAATGCCTACACAAGTTGAAAGCTAACTTTTAGCCTCAAGTTTGACAAATTACAGATTAATTGTACTCAGATTCACTAGTTACTCACCCAGCAATTTTGTTTTTGTATAAAAATATTCTCTAGTTTTATTGCAAAAAAATAAAATTAAGTTTTTAGAGCTTGAAAAGCATAAGATGAATTACAAGTTAAATTAAATTCATATATATTAATGGTTAAAAAAAAAACAATGCTGAGTAAAAGAAGCCATTTTAACATTTCTCAATTGTAAAAAAAGAAAAAAAATGATTTGAGTGAGTGCTGAAAGCTTTGCTATTAAGACAAGAAAAAAGAATTCTATCTTTTGTGAAATGGTTAAGACATTTTTAACAGCCCTTTTATATATGTGTGTTCTCACATACATACACCATGAGTAATTATTCAGGTAGGAAGACAGTCAACAAGAGGAAACTTTTTAAATACTTTTGTAATACTGAGAAAAAGTTTCAAGTCCACTAAATAAATTATATAATACACACACACACACACACAAGAGATTATGATATGTACATTTTTATACATAGAGAACAATGTTAGGCAAATGCATAACAAAATGTAAAAAATTCTGTGTAACATGTTTCACCCTTTAGTACTTCAGATAAAGTAATGTTTTTGTTGGAATTATATATGTATAGGGAGAGGAAATATAAAAACACAAGCATCAGTTATAATTATGCATCAACTGAAATTTTAAACTGAATCCCCCACCACATGTGTCTGGGTATGCAGTCTAATCAATTTCATTCAGTTTCCTTGTGTTTTAGGTTTTATCACTTTTATTATTAAGTAGCTACACCATGAAAATAGAAGATCTGCCAAGAAAGGTGAAATGTTGTAAGAACCTGGATGCAAATTTGCTGTGGATGATAATAATCAATAACCTTTGTATACACACACACACACACACACACACACACACACACACACACATATATATATATATATATATGTGTGTGTGTGTATGTATGCAGTATAGCAAAGGCAATATTTACCCTGTCCTTATAGTCCATTATCAAATAGAGACTTTAGTAGTATCCTTGACAAACTAGACAATGATTTGCATTAATGTATACAGTAGTTGAAAAAAAAAAAGATTTTTGCTAAATTATTTTACTAAATTTTAAAAAGGATTTGTATTGTATTAAGTTACATAACTACAATACATTGGAAATTTGATTTTCTATATGCAATATCAATCCTTTATGATCTTAGTAAAGATAATCACTGTCTTGCTCACATGGCAAATCTATTATATGAAAAAGAGAGAGCGTTTTTATTTAAGAGAAATGTCATGTTTTATTAATTAATCAGATAATAGAATTTGAATATCTACTGTAATAACTGCAAATATTAAATCATTGGAGATATACATCATAAAAATAGTACTACAATTGAATAGTATTTATGTGAGCCTCATTAGAGAAATTTATGAAATAAATATACAAAAAGTGGAAAATGTATTCTTATTGCTGTAAATCTCAACACTAATTACAAAAAAATAAAAACAATTACACTACAGTGTAACTTCATGTATTAAGCCACAATGTAGGAAATGACTTTCTGCAAATAGAAAAAACAAGTACAAAAAAAAAAAAAAACTTAGTCAAATATTAAAATTGATAACTAAGTAAAGCTAATCCATCAAAAAAACCAGTGTTAAAATTTTGCTTTTATAATTTATTCAACTAATCAGCTGCTCTGTTAGAATATAAACAAAATTTAAAGAGAAATTTTAATAGAAGCAGTGTTTCAATATTAAATAAAAAAGCAGTTAAATATTTCTTGTATAACAATTAAAATGGTCTATTCTAAGCAAAAACAAAAGTTATTACAATCTATTTTGGTTCTATGAAATTAATGTGTCAAATAATAAATTTAATTATAATTTAACAAAATAGTTATGACTAATAAAAACTACAAAAAATTAAATTGAGTATTTCTTTCTTATTTTCTATTCCATTCATATCACATATGAATCAGGGCTGGTGCTAGGGTCTCAAGAAACCTTGATACAGCCCTACCTCTTCTCTACAACATGTTGATTTCAAAGGAGGTGGGGTGGTAGCGCTTTTTTAAATTACCAAAAAATCAGGGAATTATCCAATTTAAATGAAAATTTTAGTAAATATTAATTTACTTTTGTAATGAATACATTTTTAATTTAAAATATCTGAGAAGATATTATTCTTTTTGTAATAATCACCAATATTTTCAGGACTAAAAAGAAAGTTAAAGTTGCAAACTTTTACATTTCCATAAAGAATAATCCCTGACACATATCCACAAAAAAAAAAAAAAAGTTTTAAAAATAGTATTTAGGTTTTTGGGAAAACTTTTCATGTGTTGAAATCTTTGGACATTTTTTTTTTTTAAGCAATCATTTTCTCAGTTTTATTTTTGTCCAACTGTGCCTACTTGGGCCCCAATGCAGGGGAGAGGTTCAGGGTAGTAAGCCCTGGCCCTGTCAATTATTATAATTGATGATTGACAATATAATTTAAGTAGAAAAATGTAAAATGTAAAAAATACAAAAAACAAAAAAATGCTGCTGAAACTAGCCCTTTTGGGGCTCCAACCTTGTCAGGGGGGATTCCTGTGTAATATGCACTGCACTGGCCACGCAAATACATGATGTATATTTTAGTTGATGACTGACAATATAACATCAGTTTAAAAATAAAAAAAAAACAAAAAAAACTGCAGAGGCCACAATGGAGACCCCCCACCAAAAAAAAAAAACGCCCTCCCCCATCATGGTTTTCGAGGTAAGGTGCATTGGCCTTGACATTTGTCATAAACCATTTTAGCTGTAACCCTTTATCTTGAATGGTTATCGAACATTGTACTGGGTTAAATTTATTAAAAATGCAATGATGAAAGTTGAAAGAATAGACTAAAATATAACAAATAATTGTTCTTACATGGATGTGTGGGGGAGGGTGTAAAATATAGCGACAGAAAATCAAATGGTGTGTCTAAAGATGTTTGACTGATACAGTAATTCAACTGCAAAAATTTTTGTCACAAGCCAAAGTTAAAATGCTGAGTGGATTATCAGCTGATATCAAATCTACCACAACATGCAAGAAATATTGAGTTGATTATTTTAAAATCATTAAAAATTTCAAAACACTAAAATTGAAACAAAATTGAGAAAATCAGTTAAAATAGAGGAGGCAATGCAAACAAGAAAAATGTTTTGTAATGAAAAGCGGGAATAAATATTTATAATGGTACAATAAATGAAGCCATGTACTAGCTGTAACTATGGAACACCAAAAAGTACTAAAAGATAGCATTTTATTAAGTTTATTAGTAAAAAAGAAAAAAAACAGTGGCCATATATTGTCTGTTGCACATTATTCAAAATATTGTTCATTTTTTCTTTTTATTGTAGTCAAGTGGGGATTTTCCTTATATGTAATACTAACCTGACCGGGTTACTTGATAATGAAACCCTTAATGATTCTAATACTTTCAGACGTTTTTCACCCTTTAAACTGCAGGATTGAAGGGATTCGATGAATTCCTTAGGTGTAGTTGGAACTTGCTGCAAAAATAAAAAGAACTGACTAAGTGCAAAAAGAACTGATATCATAAAAAGTAAATGAAAAATTAAAGCTAAAATAAAAGAAAATTCCTAAAAATTTATTAGATCTATATAAAATTTATATAAACATTTTTAATGCCTAATAAATGAAATCATAGGTTATAGAATAGATCAGTAAAAACACTGGTAACAAAAAAAAATTATAATTCAGTTAGCATTATGAAACATTATTTAGCAATCATTGAGATAAAAATATAGCTAAAAATAGTTTAACAAAATGAGTGAAATATAAATGGTAAGGTGCAATTTAGATTATTCTTATAATCTAGAATCTTACTAGTCATATCATATTTATAATAAATGAAATATTTATCATATCATATTTATAATAAATGAAATATTTGTGGGCAATAATAAAAGTATTTAGCAGAGATCATTGTTCTAAAAATAATAGATCAATAAACCAATACAGGATAATCAAAGAACATACCTTAGAGTTTTGAGCATGAATTTCAAGCAATTTCTTTTTATCTGCTACACTCTTGTTTCGAAGAGGAGCCTTCTTTTCTTCATTAAGATTTAGTTCATTCTGAAAAACAAAGTTATAAAAATGCTCAAAACTGATAAAGGCAGCAACAGCATATTACAAAATATATATTTTTATTACTTGACAATCCATTGCAATCCATTTGAGTACAGTTTGTTTTCTGTTTTTACAAACTATATTTAGTGCAAATATATATAATAGAAAATCTTGGCTTTATCACTTAGAATTTTAACATGTTTTCACTTTGTTGTAGAGTAGGACTCAGCATACTTCCTGCTCTTCCCTAATATCATGACAATGGACTGCTTCTACTTAGAAATATGGCAAGTAGCCACATTAAAGTGGGATTTGAGAAGTAGTTGATTTACTCAAGTTTTCTGTTCTAAGTAAGAATATCTAATAAGCCTCTTTGTTTTTCCTATCTGGTTCCTTCAAAACTATTTTGAACAAAGGCAACATTACAATGGCATCCAATTTACGTCTGGGAAATTTTAAAATTTCTGCAAGATATATGCAGTAAAACATAACTCCACCTTATCACCTTAGATTCAACAGATAAGCTGAATGCTTCAACACTCTCAAAAGAGTGGAAGGACAGCATGATATTTTGGCGAATTAGCTGAATAATATATTTGGTTTAAAATCAAAATGGTCTGCACAAGAAACATAAACCAGCTATGGTGGAAAGATTGTAAGGAAAACTTCCTGGTTGATGGCACTGCTGTTTGAACACCTGTGTGATATCTTAGCTGCCATGGCTACCATAATTCCAGACGAAGATAGGAAAAAGAAAATGTACAAAAAAAAAAAAAAAAAAAAAAAAAAAGATATTCAGTAAGATTCAGGAATATGAACTAAAAGGGGAAATATTCTAGAGTAGGACTCAGCATACTTCCTGCTCTTCCCTACTACTACTGGGACAATGGACTGCTCCTACTTATAAATATAGCAAGTAGCCACATTGTAGTGGGTTTTCCATTCTAACAATATGTTTAATAAACATCTTTTTTGTTTTCCCTACCTAGTTTTTGTTCCCTCTATACTCTAACTTCTTCTAATTCTCAGCTATTTTAGAACAAAGACAACATTACAATACAAAGTTAATTTGAAATTCTTTTGTATGAAATTTTAATTCATAAAACAAATACACTAATTATAAGCTTTAATGTTTTTTGTGTAATCTGCATTTCTGTTTCTAACAGGTAAAAAAAAAAAGATGTTAAATTTTTACCACAATTTTTGTACCATAATCTAACTTTTCATACTGCAAAATTAAATATAAAAATATTTGAAGATTCAGAAAAGGCAGTATGCTCTAATTAAAAAATTTATAATTTTACTTAATTTAAAGAAATAATTTCTTAATCTGATTTTTTTCTAGTCTTTATAAATGTTACAAAAGATACAAGAAAGTTAATCTTAATGTTTTATGTTTGGCTTAACAGATTTTTTAATGTTTAGATAAACAACAGTAATCTTAATTGGCCTGGTTTTATTATAAAGGCATTTGAGAAAATGCTAAACTTTGCTTAATCTGGTACAAGATCATAACATCAAGATCAAACTTACAACACCAGTCTATAGCCTGCAAGATACATACTAAGCATTGCTGTAAGACTGAAGATATTTCAATGACTCTGAATTAATGTTCCAAAGATTAACAAGTTATTAGCATAGGTAAATTTATATAAAAAAAAGTGGATTAATTAAAGTAATCTTTACTTTCAAATAAATTCTAAAAAGCAAAGTTTTTTTTCTCATAGATTAACACAAATAATTTTTTAATAATATTTCTTATTTCTATTGCCTTTTTATTTGAACTCAAGCTGTCAATCTACAATTGTGGATTGAAAATAATAGATAAACCAATTATAAAATTCAAACTTTCATTATTTTCTTTGAGAAGATTGCCTGTATAGGACAGGCTGTTTCATTGATTAGGTCATAAACACTAACCATTTATAAAACAATACAATCATTCTCTGTTCTTAAAAATCTTATATTCCACCATCTTTGTTTACATACACTATATCTTTTGAACTTCAAATTGAGAATAGTTAACTTGTGATGGAAATTTTTTCATAAAAGAAAACAAAGATATTTAATATTAAAACAGAGTAATATAACTGGCCACTGAGATACAGGAGTTTTACTCTTTTAGACAAATTCAAAACAAATTATGTAATACTAGTGGCTAACAGAAAATGTATCAAGCCACTGTCTTTATCCAGTGGTTAAGTTGCTCACTAACTAAGCATAACCCATGGAGACACACACACAAACACACACACAATATAAGTCCAATCAGCATACTAAATATGGATACAAAGTTATGATGAAAACAGTAGCAACTGCTAGCAGAGGCAGGTCAAGCATGCCAGGACAGAGCATCACCATGAAGCCCCAGAGACAAACACTGCCTGCTTGGTAATTAATGCCATCAACACCCAGCAACAGGTGGTAGCTAAAACAACAGTTGTTTCATGCAAGAGAGATGGCCACATCAGCATCATAACAGGGCCAATGAGGTACTTAACTCTCAACTAAATGGTCACTGTCCCTGGATTATTGGTGATGTTCACTTGTGGCATGGATAATAATATAACAATAGACAGAAATAAATGTAAGAAATAAGATAAAAGAAATACTTGCTAAAAATTAATAATTGACAATATTTGAATTTCTTAAATGAAAATGTTAAGAGATGGCAGCTAACCAAAATTTTACAGCATTAAAAAAATGCCTAAAGAAATAAAAAGCAAAATATATTAAGCAATGTGACAACAATGATCTGTCAGCTGTATACTTCACACATTTTCCTGTTATGTGTAATTATTTGTTAACACCCACATGTAACAGTTATTTCAAGAAAATCTTGATAGTGTGATAAACTATACAAACTGACAATTTATATTTAATCAGAACAATAGTAAGACAGTGTCTAGTTTAATGTTTTAAAAGCTTGTACTTCCAACAAGTTAGAAAGATCAAAACATGTATCTCATATTTGTTAGAATGCTTAAGGTCAAGAAGAAACTTATCTAACTACTGTCAGGCTATCACTGAAGGCATGACAAGAATGTAGTTTAAAGCTGAAATTGACTTATTATGCGGCTAAACAGTATCAAATATTACATTATATTTCAATAATCCATTATCAACTCAGACTGTCATTAAATTTATGAATTTAATTTCTCAACAATAATGATAAATTATAAAGTTATGACTTCTCTAAATGAATTCAAGTATTTGAATTTAACAAATTTAAATAGCATCATTTTGTTATGAAACAAAATCTAAGTTAAATAACATTTAGATAATTTACACGCTTTAAAAAATAAAATGAAATTGATCAGCCAGTTTTGAACTAAATTAGCTGCTTGATGCTACTGGTTTTGAGATATGATTTTACAAAGTTGTAGATTTTCAGTGTCTATAGTTAATCATGTGATGAATGTTAATACTGTGTGTTGAAATATAGTGCAATTGAAGCATATTCATTCAGACATTCCAGACTGTGTGTAAAACTAACCAGACATTTAGATTCTTCTGCTTTCCAAGCGTTAGAGAGTAAACAGTTTTGAAAAATAGTAAAATGATAGCTTTTAATAAATGTGAAAGAAATAAAGCTTTAAGAAAAAAAACAATACTATAATGTATTGAACTAAGGTAATTATGCATAAATAACCAATATTCAAAGCCTTTCAATGGAAAGGGTTTATTGCTTCCTAAAATTTTCTTAAATATATCTATTCAAAGTACCATTTGAAGCTTATTTGGCACCTCTAACAAAGTTACTATGACTTTATTAGCAATTAATAATTACAATTAAAAATTGACCAAAATCCATTACTTAAAACAGCAATAATGATTAATTCAAACCTTGCAACAAAGATTGATGGGCATTGGACAGCAAAGTGGTGACTGGTATTAATTCAAGTTTCTATGTTATTATTACTAGTCAACAATTCTGATAGGATTTCCAAATGTCCCTATATAAATTGGCTTATTGTTTTATTGAAGAGGACCTGTTTACATATTGCTAAAGATGGTTGTTATTACAATGGCACACTGAACAGACCAAATTATTCCAACATGATTCTTGATTATTAACAGATTACAACATTAGTGCAAGAAGCACAAGAGAAACATAGATTAGACAAAAGAAGCGAGAGAAAAGAAATGAAATTTATCCAAAATCCTTAAAAAAAACAAAAAAAAACAAAAAAAAAACTTTAAAATAAAGTTATTTTTACATAAAAAATTAGACTACCATTAAGTTTGCTTTTCAAGGACTACATTTCAAATTTTATAAGGAAACACCTGATCATAATCAAAGTATATTTACATTTTTAAATTTAGTCTTACCAGAAGTTGAAGGTTTAAAGAAGGAAATAAATAAGAAAAGACTACAATGAAAAATAAATAAGAAAAGACTACAATGAAAAATAAATAAGAAAAGGCTACAATGAAAAATATAGTTATTTTGTTACCACTGAATTTTACGCCTACCAATCTATACTTTTTAGAGTAACAGAGCATCTCTAGATATCTAACATAAGAATTTCATTACACTGCTTAAAATGGAATTGCTTGTATGGCATGTCATGTTGGAACCGAGTCAAATCAGATGGTATATTTGCCATCAATTTCAGCATAGAAGAAAAACTTTCCTTACAAGAAACCCTGTTTCTAGGATTTGTCATAACAGTAGATACTTATTGTGGCATGTCCTGATGCCTGCGGTAACATTGATGGAGCAAAGCAATTTTGTTATGTAAACCATACACAAATAAAAAAAATTGTGATTTAAAATTGTGACCTTTCTCTTTTCTTACAGATGTCACACCTGAAGAATGCTGCAGAATGTATCAGCAAGCATTTAACAAAAGCAAATGAATAATAAAAATCAATAGTCTGAATAAGTCTGTAAAAATTAAACAATAAAAAAAAAGCCATAAAGTTAAAGCTCCATATTTAAATATCTGTAAGTTTGGGCAGTTGACAATATGATTGTGATTTAGTAATTAAAATTAAGAGTAACCAAGTATAAGAAATGTTAATATTCAAGAGAATTCTGGTTTAAAGAAACCAGAATGTTCAAGGGATTAATAGAAATAAATGTAATGTTTTAAATTAGTTTTAAATGGTTAAAAGTGACTTCAATTTTATACCAAAAATATACAGCTTTGTAATATCTATTTTCTAAGTCTTTTACAAAGATCAGTTTCAAAATCATTTTGAAATGGATAAACTTTATTAGCTTTTGCACATACAGATTAAAATTTGTTAAAAAATTAAAATAGTAAATTTGCAAGGTAAATTTTTTAGACTTATAGAATAAAATAGCATTTCTGATGCTAGCAGAAATCCTGATCCCAAAATAAATATTTATAAAGTTTAAAATGCATATAAATGCATTTTAAATGTAGCATTTATAAAGCAGTTTTCCTATTATAAATTAAATAAAATAAAACTTAATTAAATTTTAAAATAAATGCAAAATTATTTGTATATCCTCACTTTTAAAAAGCTAGATTAAAAAGAAAAAGTGTTCATACATTTAATATTAACAAGAACTAGATTAAAGATATCTGCAAGACAATATTTAAATAATTAAATAGTTTAGTATGATGTTGAATACTGAATAGAAAATATATCAGGATACTTGATTGAACCAAAAGAAAATACATTTTTTTTTTTGCCAACTACTTGTACAGAGCATCCAAAAAGGAAAGGGCTTAAAAATTACATGACAAAAAAAAAAGAAAAAAAGTTACTCAGTTTTAAAAATGATGTTCATAACTTGACTACTTATCCTTGATATAACTCCATATCTATTCAAAATGAACTACAAATATTGACTCATTTAAGTAAGAGAACTGTTGAAAGATATGCCGGTAAAGTTATTTTTATAAATAAATTTCACTGGCACTAGTTACAGACTAACAAATAATTAAAAGGCAACACTAATAAAATATTCATTGGCTTCTAAACTTGTTACTCAAACCATTAGCATAAAATAAGGTTTTAAGTAAAAATCATATTCACAATGTTGTCATTAATGATTTCATTTTAAGTGTTATTCATACAGGACACACCCAAAAACTTAAAAATGGCTATTAATATCCTTAAAGGATAAAACCCATTACACTTTATTACATCAGTTTATATTTAAAAGTTAAAATTAGAAGTAAAAGTATCAAATGGAATCAGTATTTATTTCCAGCTTCTATTCAAAACTACATTTTATATATATATATATATATATATATATATATATACACACACACTAAAGTGGGGGAAACATTCAACCCAAGTTAGTAAATTATAATCCAGGTGAAGCTTACACTAGTAAAGCTTGTAAAATTCTTAAGATTAACTTGAAAGTTAATCCAATTTTGACCTTTGACAGCAAATAATTTCAAGAGTTATTTATGTTTTTTTTAAATAGAGGATGAAAAAGAGGTCTTTTTAGAAAGCTATATACAGGTTACACAATCCACAAGTTAAAAATTACTGTTGAAAATGTGAATTTTGTTCCATCAAAATAAAGAAATAGCTAAGAAAGAGTCAATATTGGATTACAAAATTTGAATAATCAACCAATATATTGAAGAATTCAAACTCTGATTTTTAAAAATGTTAAACTGAATTTTTTAAATTCCTTAGACTTGAAAGCTTCAGTAAATATTGAAAATTGCTGCAATTCAAACTCTGATACATTTGAAAAAAAGAGGTCAGAAATTTAAGTTTGTTAAACTTTAAATTTGATTACCAAATTGTCTTTTTGAAATTATTCTAGAGAACAAGATTGGTAAAAAGGGTGAAATAAAAATATATTCATAGAAAAATAGATTTTAAAATTGCTTTCTATTCTAAGAGATCAAAGTATATCTTTAGCTGAGAATATTTCACTTGTTCCAAAGAATCAATGGTTCTAATAATTCACCAACTGAGGCAAACAGCGTTAGTTCCTCATAGAAATTAATTTAAAAAAATAAAGGAAGAAAACAGGAGCTTTTCATTAAATAAGTAAAATAATTAGAAATTGTAGAAGGTCTCTTTGTTATGGTGAGGCCAAACACTTTGAAAAAGCATTAAAATAATGTTGTTTTTATCTACTTATATAATTGAAATTGGGTGTATAGTTGAATCTTTCATATAGAGATTATGTTTAGATGCATTTAAACTGATCAAATTTTATTTCAGAGAACAATAAAATTAAATTTTGTTTGATTAAAACCCTGCTAACATGGAAGTACCCAAGAATCATTTGAGGCACATAATGCTTTATGAGTTCAAGAAAGGAAACTCAGCAGCCGAAGCGGCTAGAAACATTCACTCAGTTTATGGAGAGGAATGTGTGAATGAAAGAACTTGCAGAAGATGGTTTGCAAAAATTCAGAGGTGGAGATTTCACCCTTGAAGATGAAGATCGAACCGGACGTCCAGTTGAGTTTGATGAAAAAGCTTCTTGAAGCAGCCCTTGAAGAAAATCCTGCTTTATCAGTTGAGGAATTGGCAGTGGTTCTCAGTTCAAACCATACAACTGTTCATCGTCATCTTCAACAACTTGGAAAAGTTCCTAAACTTGGAAAATGGGTGCCTCATGAATTGTCTGAAAACAACCTCAAATCCCGAGTTGACATCTGCTCTTCTCTCCATTCTCGCCAACTTGTTTCACCTTTTTGGATAGACTTGTGACTGGCGACGAAAAAATGGATCTTTTATCGAAATGTTAAGCGTCGTAGACAGTGGCTTGGTAAAGGGAAGGACCCCAGCCACAGCCGAGAAGGGAACTTCATGGGCAAAAGGTTCTTCTTTCAATCTGGTGGGATCGCCAAGGAATAATCCACTTTGAATTCTTACCACCTAATGCAACAATTAATGCTCAAATATAGTCAGCAATTAGAGCGTTTGAGCCAAGCTTTGAGAAAAAAAAGACCTGCTCTAGTGAATCGAAAAAGGGTGATGTTTCATCAGGACAATGCGCGACCCCACACAGCAAGAATCACGTCACAAAGATCGAAGAACTTGGTTGGGAGAAAATTCCTCATCCACCTTATTCTCCCGATCTTGCTCCTTCAGACTACCATTTGTTTCGTAGCTTACAGAATCATTTGGAAGAAACAGCTTTTGTAACACAGGAAGAGGTTAAAACTGACATTTGTGAGTTCTTCGAATCAAAGCCAAAAGAATTTTACAGTAATGGAATTAGTAAGCTTGTTAATAGATGGAAGGAAGTCATAGATAATCAGGGAAAATACATTGTTGATTGAATCTGTAATTAAATGTAATATTTGGTCACTTGTTTTCTTTATTCAAAATTCGGACAGAACTTATGGGATGACCTGATATATTGTTTTTTTTTTTTTTTTTATATGTATTTATAATGTAATCATATTATTTTTATATTAGTATTAACATAATGGTAGAAAACAATTTTTAATTTTGTTGGCATTTTTATCAAAGTTTTTCTTATTTAGGCAAATAAATTTTATATTGAATGTTAAACGAAAATCATTTTTCAATAATATTTTTTTTTTTTTTTTTCAAAATTTTTAAAAAAAGTTTCGAAATAATAAAAAATTTTATTTATTTGATTGTTTTTTTACATTAAATATTTTTGGATTTCCCTCAATTATGAAACAGGCAAAATTTTTTGTCCGCTAAAAAATTTTCCGAATTTTTTCAATGTTTTAGATTGTCATTTTTTTCTTAAAATTGATTGGATTGATCATATCAATATAAAAAACTTTCAACTTTTTCATTTTTTTAAAAATACTAAAAAATAAATATTGCATATAAGAATTAGACATGAAAACACATAATTATACAGGCATATACTGTTTTTGTCCCAGTTTTCAACATATTTTTAGAATTTATTTGAGCGCATTCAAAACAAATATTTGTTTTTTTAATTAATAAATGTTAATAAAAAATACATTTTAAAAAAAAATATTAAATAAATTTTGGAATTCAAAAAATTTAATAAATTTTTTAAATTTTTTGTTGTTTAAAATTTAGTAAAAAAATTTTTTCAATTTTTAATTACAAACATTTTTTTTCAAGAAATAAAAACAATTGTTTTGGCTGGAATACAAAAAGATATATAATTTTTATATAATAAAATATTAAATATTTTCAATTCGATTTTATATAATTTAAAGAAAATATATATTTATATATATTTTTTTTATTTTTTGAAAAAATATATTACCCAAAACAACCTTTATAATAATTTTTAAATTATGAATAAAATATTTATTTTTATATATATATATATAAAAAAAAAATTATATTATATTTTTATTTTCTTTTTTATTAATGAAGGAATTTAAAAAAAAATAAACTTTTATGATGTAACATTTTTATCATATATAATAAAATATATATATATGAAAAATTTGAATCTAAATATTTTTTATTTTTATTATTTTTATTGCACTAAAAAAAATGATAATTGATTCATTCTTTTATAATGACACAAAATCTTTTACATTTTACAACAAATCTTTGTATAAATTTAAATTCTGATATCTTTTAAAAATAACTTTATATATTATAAATTTTACAAAAACTTTACAAATTTCTATTCAAAAAAGAACAAAAATTCAATTGAAACATGATAACATTATTTTAAAAAATATTTAAATAAATTTTGAATTTTTTTATGAGTAAATTGAAAACTATAATATATATAATTTTTTTGAAAAATATAAAAAAAAATTAATACTTTATATAAATAT